TAGTGTCAGAAGGTTTAGACATAGACATTAGCCTTTATTACATGCCTGATAAATTAATCATCTGAATTTGGAATTTATGTATCCTTGCTAAATTGATATATGCTCCAACTTCAGAGCAGTTAGCTTTCATTCCTATTTTTTACTGCCTCAGACTGATTCCTTTAAAGCTGCACTTAGGATGAGTTTTAGTAGGTTGTTTTCTTTCTTTCTTTCTTTCTTTCTTTTTTTTTTTCCTGATAGTCCTGCTAAAGTTGTTTATGTTAACCGCACCTCTATGGGAAGATCAAAGTTTTCATGTCAGATTTAATCTGCTTGTTTTCTTAACAGTAATGACTAACTTTAAAAGATTTTTCCTCACTTATATTTATTCTAAAGAACATTTTGAATAAAAAAAAATTATGGAGACATTTTAAAGATATAAAGTAATGGAAAATATAAGTAACACCATTTTATTAAGCTTTCATTATTAATAATAAATATATTCTTTCCTTACACTCTCTGAATTTCCATTTTTAATTTCAAATAAAATTAAACAATATACGGTCATGTGTTTCCTTTGTACAAAATTAATAAGAAAATAATTATATCTATTTCACTCATTAGGCATAAGTGGTTTTCATATTTAATAATTTAAAAATCCTCTAAATTTTCTTGATATTGAGAGATTCTTTTTAGGAAACTCCTCTCTAACAAACAAATACCTAAGTTGTCTCTTTTGCCCTCTTTCTACTAAGAGTCAGACATACTTCAGTATCTTGTAAAGACTGTGTAGTTTTTTTACATGAAACTTTGTGAAAGTGCTTTCTCTTTGGTTCCAAATCATATAACAAGATGAGGAAGTTCTAATCACCTGTCTCTATTTCTCTCTTGATCCCTTTCCTGCTCTTTCCCTTCTACTATCAGTTTAGTGTTGCTGCACAAAACTGTGGTATGAGAGGTTAGGTTGGTAAGGAGATGACTGAGGGAAGGTAAATTACTTCAAATGAAGAAACTCTCTAGTATAGAGCTTCTTTATTCATATGTAACATTCTTTAACTTCATGAACATCAAAAATCAATTAAAAGTTTACTAGTTAGGTATTTGGATGTTTATAATAAGCCAATGCCAAACATTTTGTATTGAGAATGCTTTTAAGGTTTCTTATAATATTTAGTATATGTGAAGAAATTGAGAGTATTTTCTGTTGTCAGCAGCATAAAAACTGCTTAGGTTAATTCTTCAGATAATCAGGAATCAAATTTTCTTCAGTTCATTTACTTTCATAATACAGTAGTGCATGTGTATTTACTTTGAAGTCAAAGTCAAGGCCATAATTCTGTTTTAGAGGTCTTAAGCAACAATTCTAAAAGAAATATATTTTTAAATGAATTTTTCAGCTTCTGCTGCATCTGATGAAACTTAAGATAGACTTTGTGAAAGTGGTAAATGGCAAAGCCTATTTTTGTAAGTTTAGAAAAGATAAGGTAAAACTGAAGAACATCTGTAGGAAGCTTCTGTTACATAAACAAGATCTGTCTTCAAATTTCTGTATTTCCTGGTTAGTATCAGAATATTAGGAGTGCAGTATTTTGTATATTATAGGTGTTCCATTAAAGTATACAATGCTGACCTTTATATTGTGAGATAGCTAATAAAGATGTGATTTTAACTGAAACATATATTTTCATTTAGAACAGGGAGATAACTTATTTTTACAATTATCTTTTAATAATAGATTTTTTAAATATCTCCTTTCAGTATAACTCCTTTTTATAATATGATTTTTGCCAAAAATAGTTTAGAAAATATAAAAAAGTCAAGTGAAGTAAATAAGTCACCATTTTTTCTAACCCTCAGTTTTCTAGAACAAATTAATTAATAAACATCATAGAAACATATCAGATGTATAGATTCATATTTGGAATGTCTTAGTAAATACACTGTATTATTCACTTACTATATGCCAAGCTTTATGATAAGCTTTCTGTGTAATATCTTATTTAATCTGACATAACAACATATAAAACAGATATCATTTTACAGATAACAGGAGCAGGTCGGAAAGATTAAAAGATTATGTATGTTAACCTAGAACACAGAACTAGTAGAAGGCACTAGAACTAGACTTTGAATTAGGAAGTCATAACTCCAGAGCCTTTGCTAGTAAAATCTCTCCTTTTCACATGATAGAAGTTTCCTTCAATTAATTACTGTTATACAAAAAAATTGGTGTGTCAATTACTATAGATTATGAGTAAGCTCTGAATAATTTAATATCTTTGTGAAAATATTTAGGTTCTTTCCTATTATCTATCACATATCTCTTCATAAATGTGTCATATATACCTCTAATGATCACCCTAAAAATACTTCCTTAAAAATAGCATAACTGACTCAAACTTCTGACTTCTCAAAATATGTAAATTGGCTTCTTAGGATAGATGTATAAATGTGTATATTTGGACTATTGTTCTATGGTATTGCATGTCCATTATAATTTTTAATAATCTTCCCAACTTATGGTTAAAAATTACATGCTTTTATTAACAGGTTGCAAGTTAATAATGAAATGAAATATTTTTATCTGTTCAGTTTGCCTTTTTTGGGTTTTTTTGTTGTTTTGGTACCAGGGTTTGAACTCAGGACCTGGTGCTTATGAGGCAGGCAGTGGAATCACTGAGCTAAATCCCCAGCCTCCAGTTTGCCTTTTTAAAACTACCTTTTTTTGTTGTTTCTTCTAATTCAGTATTCTACTCTAAAAGACTGTTTCTAATCACAAAGAGAATGTTAAGGAATTGCTTGTTAATAAATGATTTTCCACATCAGAATTATATTTTAGTTACATCATTTTGGCAATAAATACAAACCAGTTCATTTTCGCTTTTCTCAAAAAATTAACATAATAATATTCAATTATTTTATCACTCACATTCCTTCAGCAGTGATTAAACTAAAAAGCTCATCCTGAATTTATAGCAAAATGTTGATAAATATAAATGGAATTTTTAAAAATAAGTTAAATTTTGCCTTTTGTGAAGTCCCCTCTCCCTATTGCTGATACATTTTACTATGTTTTCTAGCTATCTTTTCCTTCTGGAATGCTTCCTGTTAAATATTTTACAGCCAGAAATTTATTGAACCTCAGTAATTTAGAAGTAAATGATTTATTCATGAATTATTTTTTTAGAACCTTGGAAAATAACATCATAAGGATATTAAATATACAAAATAATAATTTTTAAAAATTACAATATATAATCTTATGCAGTTATTTTGCATTTGTCTTCATAGAAATTCCAAAAGAAAAATTAGTATAGCCTGCATTCATGTTAATTATATTCTATTATTTGACATGAAAAATATTTTGTAAATGTTTTCTAGCATGTAGACCTTAACTCTTCCTCCAGTGTCCAAAGGACTATATTTTATTATTCGCCCTCAACCTGCCAACCATTTCATAACCTAGTCTTTTATAAGTGAATTAACATTTAGTTATATTTTCCAGTAAAAACATAAGTGCTTCTCAACTAGTAGAGGCAATTTTGGTCCCCAGGCAACTAGTGGCAATTCATGGTGACATTTTGGGTTTTCACATTTGGAGAGGTGCTCTGATATTGAGAGACAAGTAGCCTTAGATCTTTACAATGTACCAGGTATCCCCTTACATAAAGAAATAGCCACCCCAAAATATTAATATTAATATTACTGGAATATTTTTTATTTTGCAAGCTTTGTTCTTGTATTGTTTTTCAGTTACAATAACTTGCTTCATTTATTAAAATAAAACAGACAACTAGAAATGTACTGTCATATACTTTTTCCACTGCTTTTAGCCTAAAGGTTATGTTGGCCATTTCAGTAAAATATACAGTCACAACTCATTTTATGTGGCTTTAATTTTTACACTTCACAAATAAATGGTTTGTGGCAACCCTGTATCAAGCAAGTCTTACCAGTGCCATTTTTCTAATGTGTGAGTGCACTTCATAGCTCTGTGTCAAATTTTATTAATTGTCACAGTATTCCAGACTGTTCCATTATTATTATATATCTGTTGATCCGCCAGTCATCATCAGTGACCATCCTCAACAATTGTGAGACAAGACCCTGCACCAGCAAAACATCTAACGGCTTGCCTAAAGTTCAGATGATCATCAGAATTTTTAGCAATAAAATATTAATTATGTACTTTTTAGACATAATACTTTTGCACACTTAACAGACTATAGGATGTGAAAGAATAATTTTTATATTCACAGGGAAACCAGAAAAATTGTGTGATTTGCTTTATTGTGATATTTGTTTCATTGTGGTCTGAAATCAAACCTGGAATATTTCTGTATAACCACTTTTGTCCTTAGAAGTTAAATTTCCTATCTCCTTCATTACCTTATTCCAAGTTTAACTACCTTTGTCTTAAGAACTTTAAGAATCCTAAAACCCCTAATATATAGCTAAAGCTATTACTTTACCATTTATTTTTATCACTTGTTTAATTTATATTAAAGATATGAAAAATAGTACATATAGAGTTGTTCTTCTCGCCAGTACATGAGGAAAGTTGGCTTAATGAATTCTTATTATTTTTAATCATGTTATAAAATCATAGAACTAGGTGGGATATAAGATCTCAGGTTTTCAGGAACTAAATTAAAAGAGTAATAGACAAAGAAAAATGCACAGCTTTTTTACCCTTTAAAATCTGTAGGGCTATGATAGAAATTTGAGTCTTCAATTTTGGAATTTAGGTTATTAGACAAAGTGAGATTTCTATCAAATATTTCTGAACTATAAGGAATAAAGCAGAGTTGCTAATATAAAAGTTCTCTGGATTTTCTAGGTCTTCAGGTTTTATCCATTGATCCTGAAAACCTAATGCTACATGCTTTAGAAATGTATCAGTGTTTGGGGAACTACAGAGTATGGTTTAAAGAATGCATGGTTTGTAATTATCTTTAGTGAAATTTACCATTCTTTTTTGGCTCGTTTCACTCAGTATGCTATTTAATCTTTAATTACAGGCCACAAAAGAAGTAATAGAACGGGAAGCGCCAGGGATGGCCCTGGCAATGCTGATGGGATCACTTAATGTTACACCTCTGGGCATGCTCTCTAGGTAAGAAAGACACCAGCGTGTTACAAAGAAGGTTAAGCCAAACCACTTATCACTACAACAGAATGATATTCTAAGAATCTTTAGTCCAAATACTGAAGTCTACCCTCTTTTTAACCCAGTGTTAGGGTCTTAGTGTCCTGTGTAAGCTAAATCTTGACCCCAGTTTCTTTTTTTTTTGCATTTTATGTTTAAACTTTTAGAGACTAATAGCTGATGGAAATTATCATAATCCAAAGAAAAGTTCAGTTTATTGATGCAAAATTATTTTTGGTGTTTGTGATCATCAATTGATATGTCTTAATTGTAGTTAACTACTAATTTAATAAAACTAAACAGCAAAGCTTATTAAAATAACTTGTGCTCACAAGTTAGGAACATTTATTCCAATGTGTAAATAATTTGTTTTGATGTGTGGTCGTGATGAAATTACTTCATACTGGTAATCTTAGCAAAATGATGTATTTAAATTATATTAAAATAAGAATATACTATATTAAATTAGTAATTTAAAACTGTTCCATTGTTGATGGAGGCATTAACATCCATCCTCACTCTGATAGCTTACGTGGTACTAATTTAGCAATTATTAGATTAAAATCCCTTTAATAAGGACAGTGTACATCATTTAAGGACCAGGTGTCAAATTAATCATTATCTGTTGATCTAATAACCATTAATTAATTACACAGTTAACCTGAAGCAATGATAATATATTTATCAACTTTAAAATTTCAGAATTTTATAAATCATTTATAGCCATTTATATCTTGTGTGTAATATGTAATGTAAAAGTAAATGTATCCATTTAATTATATAGAATGTGATTCATAATATTTTATTATTCCGATTAATTTTATATCCTGTCCGTGCAGCCACTGGTAGCATATCTATAGGAAGATAAGAGTGTGTCATTAGTTACTATATACTCTTTACTTTTATGTGGTACTGTGTTATGATATTTTATTTAGTAAAAAGCAGATAAAAATTGGTATAGCATAATAAAGATTTTAAAAATCCATACTTGCCTTTAAGAAACTCGAGTGTATTCTTTTATACTTTTTTTAACTCTTACCGACCTTACCCACACATATGTACTCAAAGGTCACATTTGAACCCTTTTTTCCTATGGAATTTTGTGTGTTTTTAACATGAAAAGAACTCTTTGTGGTATACAGGGAATATAGTCAAGAAAGAAATGTCATGTCTTATTAATACTTTTTGTAATAATGTTTTGATTTGATGAGTAGTTAATTATGAGGCCCTATATTAAGCATTAGGGATTCTAAGGATGGAAAAGTAAATGAGACATGATCCCCATCTTAAGGTTCTCACAATTTAAAGACATTATTTGCAATTGTTGAGGTAACCCTTTGAAGATGGATTTCTGGATCCAGTAAAGAAAATAGAAAGTTTCTTATTGAAAGTGATGGGTTACTTCCTCCTCTCCCTTGTTATTCTCATCATTACTGAGTCCTGGACTGCTGAGTAAGTAAAAAGCTCACAAGAAATAATTCTAAGTACTTTGAAACAAGATTCTTTTTTTTTTTTTTTTTTTTTTTTTTTGGTACCGGGGAATCAAACTCAGGACCTTGCACTTGCGAGGCAGGTGGCAGAACCACTGAGCTAAATCCCTGGTCCTCTAGGTACTTTTTTTTTTTATTTGTTTGTTTTTCTTCATGAGTTAATTGGTACATTTTAGGTATACAGTACAGTTACATTCATCATTGGGATCTTGTACCTTTACATGACAGGTCTTGGTTCTCATTTTTTCCCCTTACCCCTGCCCTCCCTTGACCCCCTCCTCCCTTCCCTATTTACAAATACTTTATTTCCATTTTTTCATTTTCTCATTTTTTTTCTTTTCCCTTATTTCCTTTCCCCTACCCTTCCCACTTCACCTACACCTTTAGCCCTTTTCTTTCTATTTCACATTGTCAATTATACCATTAGGATCTTATTTGCAATTATAGTTTTTCACACCAGAGAAACTATTTGGCATTTACACGTGTATGACTTATTTATTTCACTTAAGAGTATATCCTCAATATGTATCCATTTTCCTATGAATTACTCTAACATCTCATTCTTTATGGTTGAGTAGTATTCCATTTTTTAGAAAAACCACATCTTTTTTATCCAGTCTCTAACTAATGGGCAATTGGGCTTTTCCAATTTTTAGCTATTATGAACTGTGCTGCTATACACATGGGTGCACATATATCATTGTGGTATGATTCTTTTAATTCTTTTGGAAAGATACCCAGTAGAGTGATGGCTGGGTCAAATGGAACCTCTAATCCTAGTTCTTTGCTGTATCTCCATATTGATTTCCATAGTAGTTTCACCAGTCTGCATTCCACCAACAATGGAGAAGGGTTCCTTTCTCCCCACAACCCCTCCAACAATTGTTATTGTTTGATTTCTTGGTAGCAGCCATTTTTTGTGGGGTGAAGTGGAATCTCAGTGTTGTTTTCATCTGCACCTCTCGAATGACCAGTGCTCTGGAACATTTTTTCATATATTTACTTGCTGTTTTTACTTCTTTGTCTGAGAAATGTCTGTTCATTTCAGATGCCCATTTTTGAATTGGGTCTTTATATTGTAGGGGGGCTGATTGTTTTGAGTTCTTTGTCTGAGGAGCAGCTGGTAAAAGTATTTTCCCACATTGTAGATTGTCTCTTAGTTCTGTTGATGGTTTCTTTTGCAGTGCAGAAGCTTTTTAATAAGATGAAATCCCAGTAGTTGATTCTTTCTGCTAGTTCCTGTACTACTGAGGATTTTTTCATAAAATCTTTTCCTATGCCATTGTCTTCAAGAGTTCTCCCTAACTTATCTTCCAGCAAGTTTAGTGTTTCTGTTTTAATATTTAGATGTTTAATCCACTTGGATTTTAATTTAGTGCATGGTGAAAGATAAGGGTCCAGTTTTAATGTTTGGCCGGTTGAGATCCAGTTTTTCCAATACCATTTATTAAAGAGGCTATCTTTCCTCCACTGAGGATGGTCAGCTCCTTTGTCAAAGATGAGGTAGCTGAGTACATCTGGATTTGTTTTTGTGTCTTCCAATCTGTTCCACTGATCTTCAGGTCAGTTTCTTTGCCAGTACCATGCTGTTTTTATAGCAGTGGCTTTGTAGTAGTTTCAAATTGGGAATTGTTATACCCGCTGCCATGTCTCTGTTGTCTAGGATGGCTTTTGCTATTCTAGGTCTCTTCTGGTTCCAAATGAATTTTTGGATTCTTTTTTCTAGTTCTGTGAAATGTAGAGTTGGAATTTCAGTTGGCATTGCATTGAATCTGTAGAGCAATTTTGGTAGTATGGCCATTTTCATTATGTTGATTCTTCCTACCCAGGAGTAGGGGAATCTTTCCATTTTCGTATATCCTCTTCAATCTCTTTTCAGAGTGCTGTAGTTTTCAGCATAGAGGTCTTTTGCTTCTTTTGTTAGATTGATTCCTAGATGCTTCATTTTTTTGGATGCTATTGTGAAAGGAATTGTTGCCCTAATTTCTCTCTTAGTGAGTCTGTTATTTGTGTACAAGAAGGCTATTGATTTTTGGGTGTTGACCTGGTATCCAGCTACTCTGCTAAAAGTGTCGATTAAGTCTAGAAGTCTTTTGGTGGAGTTTTTTGGGTCTTCAATGTAGAGTATCATATCGTCAGCAAATAATGACAGTTTAACATCTTCCTTTCCTATCTTTATTGCTTTAATTTCTTTCTCTTGTCTAATTGCTGTGGCTAATGTTTCCAGAACTATATCGAAGAGGAATGGTGATAGTGGGCATCATTGTCTTGTTCCTGATTTAAACATGAAAGTTTTCAGTTTTTGGCCATTTAATATGATGTTGACTGTTGGTTTTTCATAGATAGCCTCTCTAAGTACTTTGAAATAAGTCCATTACGTCTACCTCAGAGGCCTGAAAAATGAATATGTATATACAATATAGTAAAACTTTCTGGTTTTTCTTTCTGTTTATTACAGATTTAATTGAAAGTTTATTTACAAATTTTGGAAGAAAGATAATGTATATTAGCTATGTGAAAGGAAACTGAAATATTTCCTTGAATGTTCATTTTTAAGAAAGCGTATTACGATTTCCTTTGTACAGCATTTACATTCTGTTTGCACTTTGGGATTTGTACATGCTTCTGTTATAGAACATTTCATACTATATTGTAATTAATTACTTATCTGCATTTCCTAATTTGTTGTACATCCATTAGAACAGGAACTTGTTTTGATCTTGTTCTTATATTTATTTGGAGATTGAGTATGACTTAAGGACATTTGAATTGGTGTAAAGTCAGTAAGGTGTGAACTTGTATCAGTTAATGTGGTGTTTTTAATTATTCTTATAATTTTATTAGTGCCTATTAATTTTTATAAAATATTAGGTTTTGATGTAAATTTTGAAATATATAGAATTATCCTCTTTCATACCTCCCTTTCTTTCCCCCTTATTCCCTTGCTCTTGTCTAATAATAGTATTCTACTTTCATGTCTTCTTTTTTTAGTTTCCACATATTAGGGTGAAAACAAGAGGTTTGCCCTTATTCATTTTTACATCTTCAGTCCCAAAACAAGTCAGGAACATAATAAATACTGAATTTAAAAGTAATAAAAATGTTTCTTTTTAATGGTTACTGCTGATAAATCAGTGTTTCACGCTAGTTTTAACAGCATCTTTTTTCCAGATGAAGTAATATATCAAGTTGGTGCATGATCTTTCTATTTTTTACATTAAAGCAGCATTAAATTAAAATAAATTTTAGATAATTACTAATGATTTCAATCTACTGCAGTAAGTTAATATCTTTGAAAGGGTACAATTAGTTTGAGAAGTGATGGTTGAGTATCTTCTCTAGGGCCAGATGTGATGGCAAATGCCTGTAATCTTGAGAGGCTGAGGCAGGAGGATTATGGCAAGTTCAAGGCCAGCCTGGGCTACATAGTGAGTTTAAGGCCAGCCTGAACTGTATAGCAAGATCCTGTCTCAAAAA